AGGTTTGGCAACACCAAACTGACTGACACCACAAATGAAAGGGATCTGGGGGTAATAATAGACCACAATATGAATATGAGCCGGCAGTGCAATGCTGTAACCAGTAGGGAAAATAATACTCTGGCATGCAACAATCGATGCATCTCCAGCAAAACCAAGGAAGTGATTCTTCCCCTGTACTCAGCACTGGTGAGACTGCAGCTGGAGTACTGCATCCAGTTCTGAGCACCACACTTTAATGAGGACATGGACAAGCTTGAGAGAGTCCAAAGAAGAGCCACCTGTATGATCAGTGTCTTACACGGCAAGCCATATGAGGAAAGGCTGAGGGATCTGGGACTCTTCAACCTGAAGAAAAAAAGGCTGAGAGGGGACCTGGTAGCAGCTTACCGCTCGCTATACTAGGGGAGTACATCAATGGCTCAGTGAGCAACTGTTCACCAGGGAACCTGAGGAGAAAACCAGGAGTAATGGCCACAAACTCCTGGAAGACTGATTCAGGCTCAACATTAGGAAAAACCTCTTTACAGTCAGGATGTCTAGACTGTGGAATAAGCTCCCTCCAGAGGTGGTGCAATCACCTACCCTGGAAATCTTCAAGTGGAGACTGAACAGTCACCTTGCTGGGGTCACTTGACCCTAGTTGTCTTTTTCTGCTTGGTGCAGGGGGTTTGGACCCAATGATCTTCCGAGGTCTCTTCCAGCTTACCTTCTATGACCCTGAAAAAAACAGGAACAACTTTGAAATGCTTTAGTGTAAATTGCTTCATATTATGTATGCACCCTCCAGCATAACTGATCAGTCCTCCAGCATCCCGCAGTGCTTTCTGCCCCCCCACTCACCTCCCATGCTGTGAGAAGTCACCTGTGTGACTCACCAAACAGGCTCCTCCTGGGTCACAGGATCTGTCTGACCTCGCTTGTTTACAGCCAGTTGTCAAAATGTGCTATACCCTCATTTTGCTGGACCCTCATCTGAAGCACTTGGCATCTTTTGTACCAGAACTGGGTGAAGACCCCTTGGAATGTGTTGGCTTACATTGAGAACGTTAGCAGCACTATCCTCTGCTGCATTTATAAGGCACTCCACTAACTGGAGGTAGACAGAGGTACTGGACCTCTTTGCTCTCTGGCGTGATGAGAAAACCTGGCACTCACTAAGGATGCACCACTGCAACCAGGTTGTTTATGAGCATGTAGCCTCTGAAATAGTTTCTTGGGAACACAGTTGTGACTGGCACCAGAGCTGTGCCAAGTTCAAAGTACTGAACACATAAGAAGACTCGCAACACCAGTTGCATCTTAGGTGTTTGGAGAGTGACATGCTCCTAATGCAAGGACCTATTGTAGCTTCTGTCTGGCAGTGACTGAATAGATCTCTGCTTTGTGTCAACCCTGAAGTTAACCAAGGCCTGAAACAGTTCTGACTGGGAGGTGCAGGAGGACTTTGGTCTCTGCTGTCACAGTTGAGAACCAGTCACAAGAGGGTTAGGATGACTTTGGGGAGTCCCTTCTGTTCAGGAGCTCTAACTGAAAGACTTACCATCTGTCCAATCATGACAGCACTATAACTGACTGACCATCTCTGCAATCTCATCCCTACAGGCCAGTCTGTGTATTGTGCCCCATCATTCTTCTGTCCTCATAGACCAATATTCCTGCAACACTTCTGCCAGCTGTTTTCCTGCCACTACTGGTGAATGACCTCTTTCCTGTTTTCACCCCTGCCCACCCCCTTCAGTACACACACCTGCCTGCAACAAGCCAGCCCTCTTTTCTCCTTATTCTTGGGAGCCAGCTGCTAGGAGACGCAGACAACAAGGACAGCCACCTGGTAAGTTTCAGCAGTTTAGCACTGTGACACCACCAGTGTTTCTACCCCACCCTCATCTCCACCCCGACACAGAGACCTCTGATATAATTAGGCTTGGGGGGAGGGAGCACATTTTCACTTAATAGGAACATGGGTAACCCTGAATTGACCTACCTGGGGAGATATGGTTTTTAGGGTGTTTGAAGCCAAGAAAAGCATATTTGTTTTGAATCGCTCAAGGGTGGGGTTCCAGTTGGAAGCTGTCATTTGGGGATCAGAGTGCTAGCTTTGTGAGTAGCATGTTCAGAGAGTTTGTGGGGGAGGTGCTAACATACTATGTTATGATCTGCTGTTTTGGGACTTGGGTCTTCATGGGGCTGTTACAGGGAGGATTAATGCTTCCCTCCAGACCATAATAGCAACCAGATCTACTTCAAAGGGCATAAATGAATCTAGTTTTGGGAAAAGAGGGTATATGCCCACCCCAGAGTGGTGTTTGCGGATGTTGCTGACAGTTGTCACGTAATTCACCAATGGGCAGCTTAGCCTTTTGTTTTGCTCCCTGAAGGGGTTAACAGCAACTGTTCCCCTCCTCTACCTCTGAGGTGGTAAGAAAGCAACAAGGACTCTTCCCTTACATTCTCTGCCCCCCTTCCTTGGTTGTTGAGAGGGCTACAGTGGCTAACGCTTTGGGCATTGCTCCACCATTCCCCTGCTGCTGCTGATTGGTTGGACAAGCTGCTTAGGAGTGACTCCTACCACCTGCTCCCCAACCCTGTCTTTGGACACTCCTGACCATGCCTCTGACTGCTGGATGGGCAGTCATGAAAGCATGAAATAAACAGAGAGAAAATGAAACCCCAGGTAATCCCCCAGAATCCATCACTTCCCTTTTTTTTTTTTTTCAAGGCCACTTCTCATTGATTGGGTTAGCCAAGCTTTGCATATACATCTCTGATGTAGTTATTCCAGGTCTGTCCAACTTCTGGGCAGTTGCGGGACATGTGCACAGACCAGACCGCAGTCCTAGGAGCCATGCTTATAGCACAGGTGGCTTAACTTGTTCACCCATCCTGTAACTTGTTCCCCCATCCTGTGTACAGTGTGGGCAGCCTAGCTCCCCCTCTGATTCTACCTGTGCATGCCATGTGGGGAACCCTCCCCACTCTTGTTTCCCTGCAGCATAGGTAGCTCTGCTGCCACCATCACACATGCAGCATCCTCTCCACTCAGCCATGCACCCACCTGCAGTGTGGGCACCCCAGTCCCCTCCCCTGCTGTATCTGCAGCACGGGCACCCTGTCCTGCTCCTGCTGCTATACTCTTTTCCCAGGAGTGGGGGTAGGAAATAGAAGGTAGAGGAGTGTGAGGGAGCTCAAAGTACTCAACTGTCACAGTAGGAGCAGTAGTGGGGGCAAGGGCAGTGAGGCCTTGTGAGGAGCCCACAGGCAGCATGTGGCCCATGGGGCCACCATTTGGACGGCACTGAGTTAATCTGTAAGGTACAAATCTACTCTGCTTTCTTCATTGGAACATTGCCACTGCCACCACTCTCTTCCCCTCCCCACACTGATGACTACCCAGAAAGTCTCAAATAAGTACCCAAGGCCACCTGCCCTGGAACCTCACATTTCTACCCCAGAGTAACTCCCCCTCAACTGTAGAGCAAAAGAGATTGCTCATTCAAGGGAAAAAAGAAGAGTAATTAGCCAAGGTAATGCTTTTATTTTGTAAGGCTACCCATCTCATGTAATGCAGTGGTTTGGGGAGGCTGGGGGGGAAGAAAAAACTGTGCTCACAAGCAGGCTGCAACCCTCCTATGACCAGCCTCCCAACAGTGACAGATCATAGCAGTTCACAGTAGGGCAAAAATTTCTAAGGGCACAGAGGATAGGATCAGTTTCACACACTATACACACTGAACACAGGAGCCATTTGTCTCGGCCAGGTGGAGCTGACCGAGGGAAACGCTGGTTAATTAAGCGAACGTCAGGTGGGCTGATGGATGGAGAGGCGAGACAGCATATTGGTTTTTATAAAGAAAGCTTTACTTACACTGCTGATGGTCACAGTGCAGGAAGGAAACTTGCTTGAGTTGCAGTTGCACACAAACAAACACAAGTGAGATCTCTTCCGAACCAAACTGAGATGAGTCGTCGATGTACGACTCCGCGAACGCTTTACACGGGGGATATGTCAAATTCACACTATGATGGGGAGTGGCTAAGAGCTGATCAGGCCCCTATATCCTCCTCCAAGACACACGCGGAGTTTGCTAGGCTCCACAGCGCGCTTAGAGTTCTCCACGAGATGGATGTGGAGTCCTCCAACTTGGACGGAAGCTGCTCTAACCTTTTATACAGCTAGCGAGCCAATTGCTAGCCGCCACGTAGGAATAATTTAGAATCAGCCAGTAATGGGGTACGGATTTGCATGTGTGTGGCGGGAGCTCTTTGCACCCGGGATTTCTCTCTGCAGCTGAGAAATCCACCGTGCAAAGAAAGCTCCATGTGGCGGAAAAATTCCAATGTGCCGAGGCACTAAAAATCATTGGGTTATGACACCATTGAACACAGGATGGGGGAACAACAGGAGAGAACTTGTTCCCCCATCCTGTAACTTGTTCTCTGCAAGAGGAGGTTGAGAGGCGACCTTGTGGCTGCCTATAAGTTCATCACGGGGGCACAGAAGGGAATTGGTGGTTTTATTCACCAAGGCGCCCCCGGGGGTTACAAGAAATAATGGCCACAAGCTAGCAGAGAGCAGATTTAGATTGGACATTAGGAAGAACTTCTTCACAGTTAGTGGCCAAGGTCTGGAACGGGCTCCCAAGGAAGGTGGTGCTCTCCCCTACCCTGGGGGTCTTCACGAGGAGGTTAGATAAGCATCTAGCTGGGGTCATCTGAACCCAGCCCTCTTTCCTGCCTATGCAGGGGGTCGGACTCGATGATCTATTGAGGTCCCTTCTGACCCTAACATCTATGAATCTATGAACACTGGCACAGTAACTCTCTGCCCAACCCCCTCGCTCTCTTTCCTTGCCTGATCAGGTGGCAGTGTGTAGGGAGTGGGGCGTGAATGGGGTGACTTGCATTTTTCACAGCACAAAGGCCAGTCCTACAGTCAGGTTCTTTCAGATATTTCCTGATTGCTTAAATGGCTCTAAATGTCCCGGAAACAGTTTGTTGGCTGCAGCTCAAGCTGGCTTCCTTCCTTCTCTGTGGTGGCAGCAGGTGGGCACCTGAAGATCCAGTTAATGTCTGGGATTTGGTGGGTGGGGGGTCAGACCCAGGGGTGCAGGAGACTGTGAAGATGTCTCAGCTAGTTGTTTTGGGTCACTTCCAGAGTTCAGTGGAGGCCATGAGCCAGGGTTCTCTGGAAGCAGGCAGCTGTAATGGGTGGGGTACCTTGAGCCTATAAGTCTTGTGTGGTGTTTGCAACTGCTGTATGGGTTTCGTTATGCTCCCTAGGCCAGGAGGGAGTAAATGACATTCTCTTTATTGACTCCGAATTGTTTGGGGATAGGTATTAACATTTTCTCTGAAATACTCTGTCTTCCAAGACTTTGTGTTGAAAGGAATCCCTCTTCTTTCCATAGAGTCACCAAAGCAGGCTTGCCTTCTCCAGAAGGTTAGGTCTTTGGACAAAACCATCTCCTCCAACAACTGGAGAGCACATAGAGAGGGGTTGCCTACAGCTGATCTAAACAGTTCATCTGCAGAATACTATCTCCATGTCACCAACATTTAACAAAAGGTGGCTTATTTCCTTACTGTCGTTTCAACACCTGCTTAAGTGGAGCTCCCACAGCAGTAGGCACAGAGGCCCCAAACCCTGAGCTAAAGATCATAGTGCAAAGAATCTCCCAACATAGGAGGAGGAAAAGATGGAGCAAGGAGATGCTGAGTGAGCTAGTGGCATCAGGAAAATTGGAGCTGTTGAGTTGAGGTTCAGGATGGAGTTTCACAAGGACTGGTATGCTGACCTGGTGAGGCAAGGCATCTCCCAAGGCAAGTGCACAGCTATGTTCCAGGCCAGGAGGAATGCTATGGAGATGCTGATGGATACCATCTGGATGGAGAGACACCCAGTAGGCCTTTAGCCATGCTCAGCAGGTAGACAAAAAGCATTGAGCGCCAGCAGTAGTTTCAACAGGGGCAGTATTACTCACAGCAGCCTCCACCAGAAAGATCCAGATCTGGTGTCCTCAACTTGAACTGGTATCTCACTAAGGCTATGGTTTTCCTGATCAGCCCCCCAGGCCTGTGATGTGCCATGGGGAGAGCTACCCTTTCCAGCTCTCAGCTGTGCAACCTCTGGCCCAGGGCTTCTGGCAGCAGCCTTACAGAACTATACCCCAGTTCAAGGGCTACTCAACACCAACACCCCTGTCCCACCAGCACCCATAGAGGGTAAGCATCAGTATTGACAAGCCACAGTTTGGTTGAGTGCCAGCCTCTTCCCTCGCCTAGCCTCCAATTGACAGAGCATCCCTATTTTCCATAAACCAGCTTGTAAATCACTTTCTTGTTCTCAGCGACAGTTCCTCAATTTGAGGACGATCTCTGCTATGGCTTATTTATGGGTCTTGAGGTGACTTAAAAGTCCAATCTTTGAGTCACAGGTCCTTCTGCAGAAGTTGTAGTTCTTTCTGCTGGCCAGAGTAGGCTGTAAGCCAGGATTTCTTTCCTTTTTCTTCTTTCACTCTTTCTCTGCTTTGAGGACAAGTACTTTACCTTGAAGTGGTCTGCTGCTGGTTGTGGTTCTGGTGCCTTTGGAGTCAGTTAGCTGCCAGGTCTTCCCAGCTCTTGATGTTGGCATCTACTTTCTTGATGGGACACAGAGGATAGGGCACTTTCTAAGGACACAGAGGATAGGCTCGTGTCTATGCCTTCAGTGCCTTGTAGCATTTCCTTTGGCTTCTAGAAGATCTCAGGCTGTAGCTAAGCTGGAAGTCAAGTCAGGGATTTGCACACAATGTCAAGTGAGTCAATGTTGGTAAAACTGGCTTCAGCAAGGAT